TTTCAACCGTCCAGTTTTATCATTATTCTAATCTATTAGTTATATTATTGACATTACTTGTTGTTTAAAACTAAACAAGCATTATAATCTGTTTTTGCTTTATGTTATCATTTTTGTGAAGAACACAGATGACACTGTAGATGGTGTGCAGTCGCGATTGCTATGATCACCACTATAAGAAGATTACGTGCAAGATATCGAGTTGGATCCCTTAGTAAGCCAAAAACCAGAAGGCTGTTGACGGTTGAAATAAGATATATTTGTTGGAAATCTCGTGGTATCGTAAGAATACGGAGACGTGCCAAAATTTGCAAGCGGGACTGCCGAGCGTACTCGGGCTCGTGCAAGGCAACGGAAACTGAAAAATTGATTGTTATGATTTGACATAAAGAAAGTCATGTGGTGCTCCGACTGTTTGAAATCATTAAAAAACGGCAATTCCAGCCATATCTAATGTTTATTTAAAAAAAATTGCATTTAACATATAAATCAATGAATTTTCGCTTCAGTTCTCTTTGTTCATAGTTAAACTTAGATCAAGTCAAAGTTACACCTCATGGTAATATTCAACCTAGTTTATGCGATCTGATTAATAGGTGGATCGAATTCCTAAAAGACCGGACACAATAAATACTAACAATCAGTAACAGTACGTATTACTACATTACATTTTAACTAAGTACAAGGAGAAACCACTGACACATGAGCCTGCTCATGGAGTGCAATTGATTGATATGGGTTAGTCATCCTTAAATGTGATGAGAATCGGCAAACTGATCGACATACCATGCAATTAGCTCCCTTTACGAATTTGAACAAAGCTTACATAACAATCGAGACAGAATAATATGAATTTATTGCATATCTTGGTTTTTATCAGCTGATTGCAACCATGTATGTAATAAATTGCAACATTGAGGTATGATATCATGTGAAACAATTGACATTGATCACTGAAAAGAACTACAACCACAAAGGCTATCAATAGTAACCAATATACATAACTGTGATCGAACAAGTATGAGGTCATTTGAAAGCGGAATCCAAAAAACATTGGGGGTGAGGCAGTAACTGAACGAAGTCCGGAAACAGATAAGATAGATCGTATGATAATTATAGAAGTTATGAAGAGTTAACATAAGATGCTAATTAATTCTTTCCATTCATCAACGTTAATTGTTTCACGTGATATTATATCTCAATGTTGCATTTCAATACATATATGGTTGTAATCAGCTGATAAGAAACCACGAAATAGATTTTGAATATGTATATTTTATACACACATTGGTTCGATCAGATAATAAGGGAAACGAAACAAAGAGGGGAGAGCGAAGTGGATCGGAGAAAACAAATGAGCGAACTCAATTCAATCAAGAGTTACTCATCATTTATGGTCAAACCGAAAATAAGTTGCAAACGTGGTGAATAGAATAATCAATCAATCAAAATACGATATGTATGGCTTGAGAAGAATGAATAGATTGGTCTGTCCAGAAACTAGAACAACCTATTTTAGCGGTGAATAAATCCCCGAAATCAATAGATATGTAAGTCTTTGACATTGGGTGCTGATCACATTAGTTTTAATGAACTCACCTAGCTGAAGGCGCTCGGTCATGAATCCGCACAAGATCACGAATGGGAACGCCGTACTCAACTTCTCCTACTATTGCTAGCCAGTTTAGATCGATCACTTCTCGATATATTGATTACCAGTCAAATATATCTTCCAACCTCCTCACTTCTGACTTGTGATTTCACTGGGTGAGCACGATTCAATTATAGAAGTTGAGCGATATGTTCCTTAGCTGTGGAGGATGCTTTACGGGCTGTGTCGTCTAAACTAATTGATTTTGCATTTCCACGAAGTTGGTTGGTTAACGGTTTCATAAGAGATGCGCATTTAGGTATGAACCGTCTGTAGAAACTTACGAGACTGTTAAACGTTCTCAACTGCTTGATCGTGGTCGGTTCTGGGTAATCCAGGATGGCCTCCACTTTGCTTCTAAGGGGTCGGATGCCTTGGGCATCAATAGTGTGTCCCAAGAAGTCTAAGGAGTTGGTTCCGATTTGGCATTTCTGAATGTATACAGTAATGCCATGCCTTTGGAGTCGATCGAAAACAATGCCCAGATGCTTGAGATGTGATTCTCTGTCCGGACTTGCTATGAAGCAGTCATCAACATACGCATGTACGAAGCTGGGACCTCGGAAGACGTCGTCTATGAACCTTTGGAAGGTTTGAGCCGCATTTCTTAAACCAAAAGGCATTTGCAAGAATTCGTAGTAGCCGAAAGTAGTGATGATGGCGGTTTTTGGAATGTCGTCGGTTGCCATCGGTATTTGGTTGTAAGCCTTAACTAAGTCGATTTTCGAAAAGACAGTTGTACCTTTCAAGGTAGCTGTCAAATCGTGAATGTGAGGCAACGGGTGACGATCGGGAAAGGTTTTAGCGTTCAGACGCCGATAATCACCCGTTGACCGCCAATAATTGCTGTTCTTTTTTTAGGGACTATGTGTAATGGAGATGACCATGGTCTATTTGATGGTCGAATTATCCCTAAGTCTACCATATGGTCTAATTCGTTTTTAGCTAACCTAAGCTTTTTGGGAGCCAGTCGGCGGGATTTAGAGAATACAGGTTATCCTGTAGTCGAGATGTGATGTGTAACATTGCTGGTTATACAAGGCAATTTCGGTTGCGGTTGGTATATCCCGGAGTATTTGTCGAGTAATGATTGGTATAGGGGGTCTATGGTGTGCTTAATTGTGACTGGGGATAATCTGCGACCAGAAAAAGGAGTTACGCAAACGGATAACTTAGTGTTTCCGTCTATTACCATTCGTGAGCGTGTGTCGATGAGTAGATTGTGGTATTGTAACAGGTCTGTAGCAATGATTGGCATAGAGACATCTGCAACCACGAAAATCCAGTATATGGGTTTGCGTAAACTCACGTTAAGGTAGACGTACCTTTTACAGTAAGACTTACTTTACTGGTTATGATACCAGCACCAGTCAGGATTATCTGCCTCTCAATCACGAGAGGCAGAGCGCCTACGTGAGATACTTCTACGCGGGGTTTTTGACCGGCTACGGTCATCACGAAGTCGCAGCTATCGTGTTAGTGTGTGACATAGTCCGGTTATGTCGGTCGGGGTCGATTCAGTCTTTTCCTTGACGGAAAAAACCTCGGTGCTAGTCGATTTGGTAATTTCTAAAATTCGATCAGCAGATGCAGCTAGTTCATCTACGGCGTTGTTTTGGAACGAGACGAGCACTGATTGCACCTGTTTCGGGAGTTTTAGATAAGAAAAAGTTGTTTAAATAGGCCATCATCGAAGGTTCTTTGACCTATCACTTCTCTCATCCTTAACAAAATGTCCGTTGCGGAACCATGTTCTAGGTCGATATTATTGAGGAGTTGGTCTAACCGTTCTCGGTTGGTTAGATCTCCACGTTGCAGAATCGATCGTTTCAACGTTTCGTAAGGTTCCGAAACATCATTAGTAAACATACTAGTTGTTACGTACCTGTTGAATTCGCGCGGTTACGCCTCAACTACCGCGATGAATCACGTTCGCGAGTCCGTGATTCCGTGCATGCAAAAGTCAGCTTCTGCGTAGCAGAACCAGGACTCAATATTGTCAGGTCAAAATGGTGTTAACTGAATTGAAGTTGGGGGAATAGATTTTAACTTAAAAACCATAGGTGTCTGTTCGGTCATAGTAATATAAAGAACGTAAAATATTTAATTAGAATATATCCGGAAAAACTCGAGAAAAAAAGTATATCACAATAAATTAAAATCAAATGAAGAATAACGATGAATAATGATATTCCGAAAAGGAACAGACTCACAGTTTATTGGCTTGGTGTACCAGATCACGTCGGGATCCCCACTGAGGATACGACTGGTATTCCAGTTTAACAACTAGCGACCAGTAGCACCTTCTATATGCTCAGCTTTTCCTGCCCAGTGGAAATCAGTAGTCAAACGAGAAGAGGTAGGAAAAATATATTTGGTACGTTACCAATATATCGAAAGGCGTTTGTTCTTAGCTGGCTATTGAAACGTAGGAGCTGTGTCCCACGCCGAGTCGAAACGTGATCTGGTACGGATGCATGACCGAAAGCCTTCAGTTAATCAAGTCCACTTAAACAACGTGGTCAGCATCCAAGGTCGAACACTTAATGAGCTATTGATTTTGGGGAATTATTTACAGCTACAGTGTCTTTCACGTTGCTGTGAAAGCGTGATATGCAAATAGGCCTCAAAAATACATCCCAAAGTAGACAAAACCATATTGCAATATGTAAAAATAAAAAGTTTAAAAGTAGTATATAATGTTTCAACAAGGAACAGATTCATAGTCTGCGAACTGGTGTGCCAGGTTACGTCGATCTCACCACTAAAGATGCCATAGGTATTTGGAGTTCAACGACGCCTATACCCGTAACACCTTCATGAACATAGTAAGCCAACTCATGCAAATCAAAAGTGAAGTGGTTCGAACATAATATTTGGAAGGCTATCGGTATGTCGAGAAGAGGTTAATGTAAGCTGGCTCACATTTGTGAGGTATGCTTAGCATGAAGTACCCACTCATTTTATGTTGAGGATGTTTGCCCGAAAACCTCAGCTAGGCGTGTCTAGTAAAACTAATGGGGTCAGCATCAGTGTCGAAGACCTACAAGTCTATCTATCCAGATGATTTACATACCACCTAAAGCGGACTACCTGCCATCCGAAAAGGGACAACTTGCTGAACAAAGCTTATTGAAAGCGATTGTTTAGGATCGCCTTCTGACATCAAGCATGAGTTCAAAGGAACCCTCAGGTTTATACCAGTTAGGCAGAAAACTTTTAAGAGTTAATTGACTAATTAACTTGTAATCTCGGAAGAAGGGTTGAATAAAGTTTTTGTTACTTATTATGCCCCTTTAAAATACAATAGACTACTATGTACTAGTTTGTCTTACATATATTAGATATTGGAGTTTTGTCAACACGTAACTTCGACGACCTTGACGGATGGCTAACCTTGAGGATTATGGAGAGGTATGATTACCTGCTGAAGTTTCTGATCATTGGAAATGCTGCTACTGGCAAAACATGTTTGATGAGATGGTTTCTTGAGGGAAAGTTTAAACAGGATTCGCTACACACAATAGGTGTCGAGTTCGGAACAAAAGTGCTTAGAGTTGATTCAAAGTCTGTAAAGTTGCAGATATGGGATACGGCTGGTATGCGTCATCTAGTAAACATCATTTCTTTTAGGTCAGGAGAGATTTCAGTGTATTACACGCTCATATTATCGAGGTGCGGCTTGTGCGTTGGTAGTTTACGACATCACTGACAGAGAATCATTTAACGCAATTAATTCATGGATTTCATCTGTTAGAGAGTTAGCTCTTCCAAACCTGACAGTTATACTGATAGGAAACAAAGTTGATTTAGATGCAAATTTACGTGAGGTAAGTGAAAAGACATCTGGATCTGTCTGACTGAAAGGCTATACACTTGGGTTGACCAACAAACTTCAATTAAAGCACAGAAATAAATGACATGTCCACCAGCTTGCGTTAGCTAGATATTGTTCATTCAAAGAGGGAACACTTGGTAGCTGTGTTCAGTTGTCTTAATGTATTTGACATTTCCTACCAGGAATCATGTTTTAAATGTCTCAAACGGTATAGGCAAAGTTGTAGATATATCACTACGAAAAACGTTCGCCACATGTAAACGAGGACTACACATTTTTGCATATCTTCAGTGTAGTGGAAGAATAATGATGAGCTGGGAAGAAAGTCAGTTCATTTTCAGTGTAGGATGTAACTTTGTGAAATTATCATTCATTAAGGTTAGGTCACAATAGCTTTGGACACTTATTTGGTGATAAATAAATAGTACGAGTATGAACCTGCGTAAGGTATATTCATACGCGCTTAATGTATCCTTGGTTTTCTTTTCTTCTTTATTATGCTGGCGAGTGAATATTAATGACGATTTTCAGTGGATAGAATACTTGTCGATGGCCCCCAAATACCCTGGTGCGGTCGACGGTGAAGATAGCCCTCTCTCCCTCTCGAAGTTCTCTCACATGACCACGCGTATACAGACACTGCCAGGGAAGTCGTACTCATTGTTTTCTCGCGGCACGGGTGTTTACGAAAATAAGAGGACGAGAAGCGATTATCCGACGCTGTAACTGGGTTGGTGGACACGGAGGATTCACTTAGGGGAGATGGGAGATCCTGATTCCAAACCAGGATCCTAAGGGAACAAATGGCATGTGAACCTATTGTTGGCCACTGGTTGCCATAGGACTGCATCTCCTGACGTTACTTCACTGCCTTGTGCATTAGACTTGCAGATCAAAGGCTCAGAGTGTGACCCCCCAAGAGAACCGCCTACTTTGGTCTTGGCACCCGAGCAGTACCACGGTTTTCAGACAAAGTGATGGTGACTGCTACTGGCCTCGTTGTTATTGTGTGGCGCATATGTATTTGGTGTCCCTTTGTACCAATGTTTGTTCAAATAAATAAATTAGTGTCGATAGATAGACGTAGTGATGTGGCTGAGTAAATGCCGCTCACGAGACCGTACTGTCAGCGTAATCCGCCGGATGATTTAGAATAGAGGACAAGACCGCTGGTTAGACGATCAAATATTATATGTAATAACATAACATGTTTATGCATAGAACTTAAACACGAAATAATATGGATAAAATACTATATACGACTGAAGGGCACCAACTCGTAATTCACTCACACTTCAATCTATAAACTGTTAGGCATCGTATCAGCAAGGATCTTATACGCACAAGTGTATTATAAAGCCCTACAGTACCTATATGTTGCAATTTTAAAATTGCATCATCCTTTTACTAATTAGCATATGTGCGGTTCATTACATCACTTAGGTCACTGAATTAGAAGGAAAACAGTGTGCTATTGATAATGGAGCTTATACATTTTTGGAAACATCAGCTAAAAATGGTTCGAATGTTTTGGATGCATTCACCGCTGCTGTTCGGAGTGTTCTAGAACAAATTCAAAATGGTTCTAACCCAACCCAAATGTCCTATCCAGTTGGAATTGGTCCTGCCCACTTAACTTTTCCCGGATCAAATGAATCTGTCAACAGTACAAAGTCATCTAAGCTATGTTGTCGTTCTTAGTGTTTGTTCGTTTTTGAATCACAGGTAAAGTCCATAGAAATTTATAAATTGAATTTAATATGTTTGTGTTTACTGTGGCGTAATCAGTATGTCGCAACTGATTAGGAGTATAGAATGATCTAACTATATTTAACTATATGCATCAGTGATTTGTGCGATGTTCTAAGAAACCGATATAAACACAAAGTTAAATTCGATATTTACTCTTTCACTGTTTCATCCTAGTCCTCTTTTTTGGAATACTAATAGCATGTTCAAACAATCTGTTTTTTATTATTCTGGTAAATTTCTCACTATATTGCCCTAACTAATCTTCATCGAGCTTAAAGATTGATGATAAGTTAATTGTATTAAATGAGATTTAATGTCTTGTTTACTTTAGCGTTAGTACACAACAATGAACAAACAGTAGTCACGTCTTTATATCAGTGGGGGTGTAAGCATTCATTTCAAACGTTTCCTATTTAGTCTTTATCATCAAAACTGGTTAATGGGCAATTTTCCCTAAGACATAATTTGCCGAATGACTCCAATCACTGGTTTTTAACGTCCTACTGATCCGTCATACCTCCGTACGCCGTTGAAACATAAATACTAACTCTCCGATTTGGTGTAAAATATATATTTGTGGATCCCACTTTAATTACTTAAGCCGGTTACTTCTCATTAGACTAGGGGCTACCAACCATGGATCTCCAGCTATTTCTGTCTTAGGCTCTTATTTCTGGATGATATTCATTATATTTGTCTCTGCCTTCAATTCATGGCTCAATGTGTTCCCTGGTTTGCCTTTTTTCATCTGTTATGTGGTTTAGGGACTTCCGTGTAATGTATCCTGTCCACCTCCGGCGTCTTTTCGTGATACATTCTTCAGCTCCTTACAATAAAATTGTTTTGATGTTAGTGTTGAAAGTTCTAACTAGTCTTGTGTGGTTATCTTGAGTCAGATATTTTTCACTTGCAGGAATTTTGGCTTTGCTTTGTCAATCTGTATCTTGAGCTGTGCATCATATTATCCTTGCTTACCAATACTTATGTAAAGGCCTGTTTCTCAGAAAGCCGCCACTAAATTGACTGTCTTCATCTGCATTTGTTCCTGTATATATGACAAAAGGGCTAAGTCGTCTGCACTTACTTATCTACTCCTGTTAACCCTCGTGGAGAGACATCGGGTATCCACCAACATTCTCCACCGAACTCTGTCCTGGACAATCCTTTACGTTTCTTTCCAGTTACTATTGATTCTTTTAATGTCTGCTTCGAATTCCCGACACAATATGTTCCTTGGTCTTCCTCTTTTCCTTCAAAATCCCAAGTTAGCGTTTGCCTCGTGATGCAGTCTGATGATTTCTGTAATGTATGTCGTATCCATTTCCAACGACTTTTCCTAATTTTCTCTTTAGCTGGAAGCATGTCATCTGCGTATTTCCGCTCGTCGGCTCTAATCCTCGTTATTTTACTTTTTTACTTCGGCTCTCCCTGATTTTGTAGGCAGCTGACGAGAACCAACGAAATAAAACGAATTCATGCTATTCTTTTTTTGAATAAATTGAACATTGGGTGGATTGTTATAAATAAATAATATATTTGTAATATCCCAATGAGTAGAAAAATTAGATTTTCTGACGTTTCGTGACCTAGTGTAGGCCACTTCTTCAGGGAAGTTCTCTGAAGAAGTGGCCTACACTAATTCATTTGTCTAGTTCTTCTTCACTATCTGGTAATATGAAGATATATCAGCTCCTCACTTTGTTCATGCATCTTCAATAAACATTCTGAATTTTCTGTCTTTGAATATGTGATTTATCTGGTTTTCTGTAGTTTGGTCCGGTAAAATCCATGTAACGTTGTGTATAAGTTTGTAGGGGGGAAATACTGCCGTCTAATCATGACGTTGAAACCCATCCTTGTCCCTTCCTACCAGTCCATGCTACCTCATGGTGCGTTCGTACCCATTGTCGTCCATTCTAACATTTATGTCCGTCATCAAGATGGCCAAGCCCCTTCCTCGTCATTTCTCTAGGGTGGACTTCAGCCTTTCATAAAACTGGTCTTTATAATCTCCACTGCCATCATTAGTGGATCCTTAGCACTGGATGATATTCATTTTAGTCTTTTCTTTTGTTTAAAAGGGTTCTTTGACAATTCTGGGGCCTATTCTATAAACACTGTTCGTGCTATTTTGAAAAGCGTCAATACAGCTCCTTGTTTGCGTGGGGACTTTTCTTTTTCATGACTAGGATACAACAGCTCTCTTGAAGTTAGTCTTTTCTGTCCAAATCGTGTCTAATGAGTTTTAATTATTCTTAACACATCCAGATTGTATCTTCTGATTTCTGCGACTATTTAAATGACTCTTACGGTCTTCCACATTGTCTGGACATTATATGTACTTATATTAATTGTTGCTTTAGTTATCAGAAGCGGGATCAGCCTCGTGGCTTCTGAAACATCTCAGCCTTCACCATTAGTTTTCATGACTACCATGAAAAGACCCTCAACTTTCAGGGCAGTGTCTTTGTGGATTAATCGGTTTACTCTAGTTAGCATTTTATAGTGAAGTGCTTTCTTTCCGAGGTAGGGTTGCTAACCTTACCCCCAAGTTTTCTCTTTTGGCTGGAGTTGGGACAGGCTCCAGATCAAGTTGGGTCGAAATACGAGTTAGCAAAACACTCAAGGTATCGCGTTATAAGCCTGTTCTTGTTTCTTGTAAAGTAGTTTGCCAGTAATCAGTATTAATTAGTATGCCAAACCGAAACTTTTTTAGATTGTGTATTAAGGTTATGCATGTTTCCAAGAAGTCTAAGCGTCGAAATGAGAAAACAGTATTATATAAGGTGCTTTCAGAATCCTAACAAGTGTTTCTCCAAAGATCAAAATAATAACTAGTTATAGAGTCAGTGATCGAAGGTGTCTTCTTGCTAACTAGCTCAGCTCATAGTATCCTGAATTCTATGCTAAGTTTATCATTTGTCGAATATTATAGCAACTGATGGGCATAAAAAACAGAATAAACAAATTGAGACTTATCAGCAGACTAAATTAATATTATATTGAAGTAGTACACATCTGTCTGCGTTTCTTTTGTTAGTCTAAGAAAAGTAATGTTTGTTATTATACTGATTAATATTCATATCATAATGCTGGATTTATTTCTCAGACGTAGCTTCCATATTCTATTTTATTGGAATTCAGTTATACTTACCTACTTACTTACGCCTGTTATCCCTCGTAGAGAAGCATAGGTCGCCCACTAGCATTCGCCATCCAGCAGTTATACTATATGTATTTATTTATTTAAACACATAAATATTGGTACAAAGGGGCACCAAATACATATGCGCCACACAAATCACTTGATTTGTGTATGGACTGTGTTACTGCCCGGATGCCCAGACCGAAGCAAGTTTACTATATGTAACAAGCTATTTAATAGACGATTATTCATTAAAATGATATTTCATCATTGTTTGTTTAAAGATGTTCAGATAAAATAACTGTCAGTTGAGATAAGGCGTAAAAGTAATCATGTTGCATTAAACATGAAGTTGGTTCAAAATAACTGAAATCAATACCTTGTTTAAATGGTATATGTTAATATTGAATTGCATAATTTTTTGAGTAATCGGTTTATGTATGAAACGGAATGCACTTTCTTTGTTTTCAATGTACATATAAAAGTAGTGGTTATGTTTTTTTTCTCTGTTTTCACTTCAAAATAACCATTAATCAATCTAATTTGCATAAAGTATAGTGGTTTTAAAAAACAAATTAATGCATGCAAACAGTTTTATCTTCATCATTTGATTTTGGCTAAGTATCACTATCTTTGATACAAAGGGTCACTAGATATATATGCACCACACAAATCTCATTCGATTTGTGTGAGGGCTATGATACTGCCCGGGTGCCCAGACCGAAGCAGGTGGTTTTCTTAGAGGGCCACACCCAGAGCCTTTGACCTAAAGGCCTGATCCACAAGGTAGTGGAGTAACGTCAGGAGATGTAGTCTCAAGGTAGTCTCTGACCGACGATTGATCCATACGCCATTTCCCTCAGGATCCTGGAGCCCATGAGCACCATTGATTTGGAATGGGGGTTTTCCAACTCCCCTAGGTGGACTTTCCGTGTCCACCAACCCGGTGAATGCGCTGGATATTTGCTTTTCGTGCTCTCACTTTTGTAAACAACACCCCCTCCACGAGAAGGCAATGAGTAGGACTTCCCTGACAGAGACTGTATATGCGCGGCCGTTTGAGAGCATTTCGAGAGAGAGAGGGCGGGCCCTCCCCACTCTCGGCTGTACCAGATATCTAACTTCTAGAACTCAATACTAAGCACTATATTTTTTATCAATATTTTGTTTGCAGAGAGAAAGGTGAGGCTTTTTGAAAGAATTGTAAATAGTATGATAGAAATAAATAGTTTTGTGATGGTGGAGAAGATTTGTAGCTCAGGTGAATGATTTTGAAGGAGTTTTGTTCTCTAACCTGGATCGTTTGATCGTGAAGCTATCATCATCCTTCTGAACGACATCATCAGCACAAACTTCGGGTGAAAGTGTGAAGTGTTTGAATTTCTCCACATGTAGTTCACAGCTTGTCTTGTACACCTCGATGTTGATTGGTTCTTATTGATCTTAAATAACACTTCTACCCAAAGTTTATGCTGATGATGTCGTTCAGAAGGACGATATAAGCTCCACAATCAAACCATCCAGATCAAAGAACAAAACTCCACCGATAAATAGTTTTAATAAGATTCTATGTTTATTATAAAATCTGCATATTGGTATAAAGGGCACCGGATACATAAGAGCCACACAGAATAATGAGAATAGGAGGAGAAAGGGTGAAGATATGTATATATAGAAGAAGAAAAAAAAGAGAAGAGTAGTGATTGGAGGAACTGAAATGTACAACCAGAAGAACTCTCTCAGTTAAGAAAGTTATAACCAATCTTTATGAAGAAAGTAAAAGAAGGTTACAGCAGGCTTACCACTGGCTTCTATTGTGAGCTATATTTGATAACGTCTCTAGACATTGTGTTGCACCATCTCTCGGAACCCAGCCAGGGAGTCGTGAAAGACCAACAGAAGCTAGCTTTTTGCAGCTTTCTTTCATACCACGATACCATATCATACACTGATCACCTCTCCGCTTATTCCAACCAGTCCCAGCGTCGTCGGCAAATAATGCACGACTCATTATAAAATATTTAGTTGTAAATCATTATCAATGAACTCAATGGTGTTTATATTATTATATTGTTGCTTCTTTTCTCTTCTTTTTTTCTTTATTATTTACAGTTGTCTTTATACCTTTCCACGTAAAGATCTTTGGACGTATAATACTTCAAAACATACTACTTATTATGTCTGTGATAAATTATGATTTTTATTGTTTATATAAATAATATCTAAATTTCATAAGTTTATATATAAACGTTCAACTGTAGGTGATCCAGTTGAATGTTATGAGTATCTTTTTTTTTTTTTTAAAAAAAGAGAGAATTATACAATTTCATTTTGGAATCCGTTTGACTTCTATTCATTCATCATAATTTTCCCTCCCCCCTCCCGCCTTTTTTTTATTCTTCTTTTTACATCGTTCAAGGAATTTCTCTCATTTTCATTTCTTTTTTTTTGAAAAAAATAATCTAAGATATTTTGAGTTGATAAATTAGTTACTATTATGGTGATATATATATATATATGATATGTTTAAAATACAGTTATATACCTTCCAATGAATTTGCTGTTTTCAACTAAGATACTAAAATGTTAATATTTCTCGACATTTAATCATTATCAACTAAAAGAAGAAGTTGAATAATCTTCATTTTGGTTTCTCAGACCGTGTAGCTTGTAGCCTCTCTAGGGGCGGGGGCTACTTCTGGTCCCAAGCCCCAGATAAAGGAGGAGAGTTGGGTATGGGGTTAGCGACTTCATCACGTAGAAAACTAAATCGCTAAAAAAAACGCTAAACGGGTACGGTTAAACCAAGGGTTATAGAAATCACATTCTAAATGATTGATTCTGAAGGATAGCCTAATGTATTAGGTACTCACACTTTTTTTCATATATATCATCGTCTTCTGGAATAGAAAGTCGAACTTCTAAATTTCTTTGTCTTCGCAATAGTTAAGGTTTTGTTCATTAGCTATCAGGGAGATTACCCAAGTTCTCTCGAGGAGTATTCGAGTTGCGTCACCACATTAGGTGAGGTATTACGTCAACTATTATGTAGTCATATTCGAATCATAGCAGCTTGTAAGTGGCTGTAACAAGGCAACGAAATATCCAATGAATTCATATACTGACGAAGAGACAAATTATGTAAAACAATCCTTATCGTACAAAACTATGTAGGCCAGTGGTTCACTAAGCTTTCAGCAACTTATTCAAAGGTTAGAATTATATTTTAAGTGATTTCTATTTAGAAATTAATTATGGAATGAGATTCCAAATATAAAAACTACGCTTCATCCTAGTTCAGAATTAGGAAGTATGGTCTAAAATAAAATTGATAAAGTGTGTTATGCTTATTGTTACAATCAATCTCTGTAGATCATTATTTAACTTATGATGAGAATAGGGTAAATCTATCTTAGCAAAAGAGCTTAATTAGGATTTCATACAGATATTTTTTGCTGCTCCCGAATGTCCTGGTATGACCGAGGGTGGAGAGAGTCAGCTCTCCCTATCCAATGCTCTCAGATAACCACGTGCATACAACCACTTTCAGCGAAGTCCTACTCACTACCTTCTCAGGGCGGGGTTATTGTTTACGAAATTAAAAGGACAAGAAGCGAATATCTGTCGCTTTAACCGTGTCGGTTGATACGGAGGATCCATCTAGGATATTTTGAAAACCCTAATTCCAAACCAATAGTGCACATGGGCTCCAGTACCCTGAGGGAACAAATGACGTATGAATCAATCGTTGGTCACCGGCTACCATGAGACTGCGTCTCCTCACGATGCTCCACTGCCTTGTGGATCACATGTTTATGTTAAAGGCTTCGGGTGTGGCCCCGTAAGAAAACCACCTGCTTCGGTCTGGGCACCTGTGCAGTTTCCCAGCCCTCAAACAAATCAGATGAGATTTATGTGGTGCATATGTATCTGGTGCCCCTTTATAACAATATTTATGTGTTCAAATAAATAAATAACCTGAATTTTATTATGTACTAATCATATTACAAAATAGATAATTTGGTTTCGTAATTAATGTTAACGTTCTAGTGTGATATGATCTTGATAAGTCTTGCTAATTGAACGCTATACTCGGATCCTAATTTAGTCCCGTAACCCTCGAGTTAAATCTACACAGCGACTTGAACATGAGAGAAAACACGCAAAATTTGCAAGAAGCACTTTATTCCAAAGTTTCATTTATGTACAGAAAATATAAGGTTTTTATTGTATTTTGGACGGCTTTGGATTTCCGGAAAATTCTAGGATGCTACTAAACACAGTAACAGTGTAGTAATTAGCCAATTAGAAACTCTACATGTGACTTTTCACTTTCGTGATGTTTCTGGCAAAACTTCTAGTCAAATGCTGATTGGCTAAAGTGCTTCCTAATGTTTACTGAGCCTTCCTTGCCTATTGTGAAAAATTTTCTGGGTAACCCCAACATATCTTCAATTAGCTCAAGTTGTTCTCCTTTATATCAGCTCAGAGAGTTTAAATGAGAATAAATCGATGGGATAAAAAACTTTAACGCCGAACTTAAATAAATACAAATGGAAGAAACTATTCAAATTCACGAAGTAGATAATCAGTACATGTGCACTGCTATCTTGTTGAACTTAATCAACAAATCACCATATCTCAAATTAAAAATCATTGACTGTGTGAATTGGTTCGGCTGTTCAGTTTGTTCATTTTTAATTTTATAGTACTCAGCAATACACCAGTTTCTGAATACAATAACTAGCTAACTTTAATCTACTTGTTCTTGTTAATTTTGGTATTGTTTTGAACGTGACCACAGTTGGGGATAACCAATGTATTTTAATAGAAAATCATAGAATTCTCTGGTCAAATGTGGGAACTGCTATATCTGAACGAGATTGAATGAGTGGTAACCGTTAGGAATTAATTATGGATTAATATTATATGTATATTCCCATTATATAACTATTAAGTGACTATATTATATGTATATTCATACTCGTTTCATTAGAAGCTTTTATTTGACCTATTGACTATTATCATACGATTTACTATTCTTAAGTTATTTCCAATCTATTAGTTATAGTATCTCACAATCACAGCCACTTTTGGTTTGGTATTGTGCAACTGTTATTTTCTATTTGATGATATGATGCGTTCTGAACCTAACAGACGGCCAGGCAGAAGAAGGACCAATAAGAACTCTAGACTATTCGTACTGGTGTATGCGTCATTAGTTGAGTTGTATAAGTCAATGTATCTAAATCGGCAATCGTATAAGTATAAGGATATAACAAAAACCATACATTCAACACTTCATTTGCAAATCCTCCATCAATTATCTCAAACCTCATTGTTCCTTCATTGCCATAGTAATTACTCTCTGTTCCCGTTATCTTCAATACGATCTTCCCAACTTTCTGCTGGCAGGCATTGTGTCTGTCGACATAAGTAGCATACACCACAGCATCACAAAGATAACTGGTGGTCAGTGGGATCTTTTTCTAACGAATATTTTAATATCTAGTCAAAGTAAAATGTTTGTTGATTAGGGTCTTGAAGTATTTCTGTAACGGAAACTTTTCAAAGCTTGTGTCTCATAGGACATTAAAAGGTATGATGTAATTTATTTCATTCCACGAATGAATCACAAACGATTTAAAGATTCCATCTGAGTAATAGATCAAGTTTTCACAGTTTCTTCTTAAACTGGCATTGTCATCATTTCCAGTATTCGGTATCAAAAGACTAAGACATAACTTCCACTGTGATAATATTTTGAGGGCACAGATATAGTCTTTAATCTCACTACTCCATCATGATGATATATATTCAGTTTTATATATGCGGACTTTACAATAATTTTGATTTTAAAGTATCGTAGGCTGTAATCAGCTTATGAAAACGTAACGAAATAGAGTGAATTCATGTCGTTCTCTATTCTTGCCTATCTATAAAGATAGTAACGGGAACTAAATGCAACCGATTTATTCATTCTATGTAACTACTAACCAACCTCAATGACAATACCCTACATCTTTCACTAGGATTTTTAGATAAAAAGTCAGAATTATTTTCACTGTGGCAATAATTTTCGGTCGTGGTAGTCATATTAAATTTGTTTTCTAAATGTCAAAATGGTATAGATATGACTTCATGTGATATTGTAGTTAGCTAATTTGAACTCCATTGGAAGATTATAGATGGATGTAGTAGGATAACTGAAAAACTCGACAAAACTATCACTTCATCAAATAGTATGGAAACTTATGTCGTATATCCTGCGAAGAATCCAATTATTATTCGTAACCTAGTCCTTATGTATTTATCCTCTTACTAACCAAGGGATTTTCAATAAAGGAAGTTAAACTAACAGGATTGGATATGTAGCGTCATTTATCTTGGTGCCCACTTGACTAATGGATTTCATTCAATACTAAGTACCAAAAAACGCAATGAACGGTAGTACACGTTAATGGTTTCATGTTAACATTCATTTATGGAATTAATACCAGTTGGAGAACCACTGAAAACTAGGGAATATTGAAAAATAACTTTGTGACTTTTCTTTAGTGCACACCTACAGTCACGTATGTGATCGAACCTTTACAAAGTCAGTTTGCAGTAATCACCATTCTCAAATTGATTTTAAGCGGAACGGAGTCCTTATATATTATTTCTGGTCAGTTTTTGACTTACTGTTGAATTGTTTGACTCCACAGGTCACATCCCAAAAATTCCTGGAAATTCGTATCGAAACTAAGTATGAATAATTTATGGTGATCCACATGCATTTTTAAAGTTTACAGCTCCAACTCAATGACTTACTGGTATTGTCTCACTAAGAAATATAAAGTTTCTAGGTTTAATTGATCCACTGAAGTCATGTCATAGCTGGACCCTGTTGATAAGTCCTAGCTCTTAATGGTTTTTTAATCTATTAGGAATGTTAAATCCTCAAATACGATTTATTAGGGAGAAATTAAATGTAAAGTCATGTATTGATTAAATGTAGTTTTTGACATTGGTATTGATACATCCTAACTTTCATTTAGTAGTATGTTGGTTTATATGACAGTTTATTTATTATGACAATAATTTTAAGTCCTTGTCGATATCAATGCCATGATTGGACTTGATAGATTCAAATAAAGTCAGCATTGGTTAGAAAGTTACTCTGAAGATGCGGTTTACTTTAAGTCACGAAACACCAGAAATACAATCTTTCTATTCATTGGGATTTAACAAAAAATATACTTATCAATACATCTTTTGGAGTGTCCTGGGTTGAAAGCAAAAAAATGGGTTTTGATATTCTGGTATCTAAGTGTAATTAGGAGTTTTTGCTTACTTACATACTTACGCCTGTTACCCCTCGTCGAGGAGTATAGGCCGCTCACCAGCATTCTCCATCCAACTCTGTCCTTGGCCTTCCTTTCCAGTTCTTTCCAGTTGTTGTCCATCCTTTTCATATCTGCTTCTATTTCCCGACGTAATGTGTTGTTTGGCCTTCTTCTTTCACGCTTCCCTTCAGGATTCCAAGTAAGAGATTGCCTTGTAATGCACATTGGTGATTTCCTTAATGTATGTCCTATCCACTTCCAATGTCTTTTTCTAATTTTCTCTTCAGCTGGAACCTGGTTTGTCCTCTCCCACAGAAGGTTGTTGTTGATAGTATCCGGCCAGTGAATGTTGAGTATTTTGCGTAGACAACTGTTTATAAATACTTGTACCTTCTTGACGATGGATGTAGTAGTTCTCCACAAGGAGTTTTTACTATGATCTTAAAACATATTACAATCGTACTTCAGTCGATGATGGTTAATAATGTAAATTACTTTGAAAGATCTACAGAAGACCATCTAACTGAGAATGTTTTAATAACCATTCTCTTGTTTCTTTCACTAATGAATACATCAGTGAAAGCGATTGCTAATGATTAGGGTGTAGTTGATTGTTTGTTCTGTCTATTGTAATGTCAATTGTCACTAAGTAGTGTTTATGGAATCAATAAAAGTGATTAAATTCAAGTTTTCTCTATTCAGTCATCGATTGAACATTGAAAAGTATATAGGTACATGTATTAAAATCTAAACAGTCATGGTGAATAATGGTTAATATTTTGATTGTATATGGATATAGTCGAGAAAGGAAGAACAAGAAGATAGCAATTGACAACAACCGAACAAGAACAGAGAAAGTTAAGCATAAATTGAATACACAGAAACGAAGGAGTAAGTGAAGAGAAGCATTCGAACTGACAAGCAGAAATACGTGGAAGAGCTAGCAACGACAATGGAAAAAAGCTCAAGAGAAGGAAATACGTGACAACCATACGACACAACGAAAAAACTATCAGGGAGACCGGTCAAGGACAAAGAAGCTAAGCCAATCACTGAAATTCAAGGACAGTGGAACAGATGGATGGAACAATTCGAGGAACTCTTAAGTAGACCAGCCTCATCAAATCCACCAGACATCGAAGTGGTACCTACAGACCTTCTTATAAATGTCACTCCACCAAAGATCCAAGAAATCAGGAAGGTCATCAGACAAACCAAGAGTAGGAAAGCAGCAGGACGTGACAATATACCAGCTGAAGCACTAAAGTCAGGGAGATTTGGTAGGAAGAATGAGTGCCAACAAACTGGAAATGAAGACACATTATGAAGGTCATCGTCAAAGAAAGGGGATTATCTGAGCACGTCTGAGAACTATAGAGGCACCACTTCACCATTAGTACGAGGAAACGTTTACAGAAAAGTGTTGCTAGACCGGATGAAAGATTCAACTTCGAGATCGGTCGTGCCCAGAGCAAACTGCGATTATGAGAAAGCGTTTGACAGTGTGTATGGAAGAACTTTATGGAACCTTCGTTGACAATATGTTGTATCTGGGATGATTATCAACATAATCCGGAATTCATACGACGGACTACACTGCAAAGTTGTGCATGGAGGACAGCTCACAGATACATTACAAGTAGAGACTGGTGTCTGACAAGGCTGATTACTCTCACCTTTTCTCTTCTTACTAGTGATCGACTGGCTTATGTAGATCTCCACAACTTAGGGGAAGCATGGAATACAGTGGACAGCTTGGGTACAGCTAGACGATTTGGACTTTTCGATGACCTAGCTATACTATTCCATGCACAGAAACAAATGCAAATGAAGACAGCCAGTGTGGCAGCAGCCACTGTAGCAGTAGGCTTCAACATGCACAATTGAAGATGAGGATCTTAAAGTACAACACAACGAGAAGCATTCTAATCACACTTGATGGAGCTCTGGAAGAGGTGGAGACTTTCACGTACCTGGACAGCATCACCGATGAACAAGGAAAACTGGATGCGGATGTAAAGGTAAGGATTGGCAAAGCAAGGGCCTCATTCCTACCATTGAAGAACATATAGAACTCAAAACAACAGCCAACCAACATCATAATCAAAATCTTCAATACTAACATGAAGACAGTTCTAGTATACGGAGCTGAAACTTGGACAACTTTTACAAACATTATCAAAAATGTACAGGTATTTATAAACAACTGTTTACGGAAGACATGGAGAGCAAATGGTAAGGGATCAAGACGGCAATCAATTCAACATGTAAGTAAGTAATTAATTTATACTTTTAGCCACATAAATTGATTTATACTATATTTAGTCCATATACATATGACAAACGTTATCCATTTGTCAGCAGAATGTAGATTGGATTAAAACACGTTCCATCTTTTGTATATCTTCCTTGAGCTGTTTTTTACATACATATTGATTCCTTCAATCCTGTTGTTATTACGATTGTTTTCTGTTTTCCTTTATTTTCTTCTCTCTTCATTTCAATCTTCTACTGGTAAACATTCCACTTTCAATTCCTGCTACATACTACTTATATATTTCCGTATAAGTAGTGCATACCACAATGCAATTGTTTTCTTAGGTACATATTTTTAATATGTTACAGTAATATAAGAAAACAATAGCGTGGTCTATATCTTGAACTAGTTATGTTGGTGCACGCTGATTGACTGTTTCTTATCCACTCGGTGCTAGTTGATACTTGGAGAAGACTCTACAATCTTCTCATGTAAAAACTATAAATATACTAACGTTTCTCTTCTTCTGCTTCTTACTTCCATGTAACATTGTTATTTGGAATATAATTAAGTTCCTGTTCAATCGTGTTTTGATTTGGGGATTTGTCGAGTGGATTGGTGTCTAAGATTACTAAGCAATAGGAATAGCTGGGTAGGAGAAATTATAACAACACTGTAGACCTAGATGCAGGTTCAAATCCCACAAGAAGGGTCTACTTTCTTAAAATTACATTTAAATCATAGTGAGCAGTGTCAAGTCGTTCGTAAGTTACGTCCAAGCTTTTCAGTCTAGTACCTTCAATCATCTATCATCAAAAATATAATTCTTGATTTTAATTCCTTAATGATTATAGAAAAATAGTTGTATGATTGGAGTTAGTTAGTTCAATAACAGAATAATATCCTCAATGGAATTATTCACTCGCTATAGTAAGATCAATCAATCCAAAATGTTTAAATTTCATCCGGTCACAATCTAAAATATCATGACGTTTTCAGGCAAATACCTTTATCAATGCTCCTTGACAGTTTTTAATGTAACTAAAGATCAGATATAGCTCTAAAGAAGTCAGTCAGTTAGCTACAACATAGAACCAGGTATACATATGCATCGGTTCAAGTTGCAATACCTCATTAGCCCAACAAGATGAACACCAAATTCATAGAAGTCGTTACTTCAATGATCGTAATATATAAAAGAAAGATTGTGTATAAGGATATAATACAGAAAGAAAGAATTAGTTTGTAGAAATAAATAAATCAAGCAATTTAATTTGACAGTTTAAGGGAAAATAGAGAGTGTATACACCTACGCTATTGTGATCGATTCTGAGCCATGTCATTCATAGTCTCCAACCATTGATTACAATAGTCACACAAACCGCAAAACAAATAGTCTGTATCTATCACCATGGATCAAACTAAAGATACCAAGACGTGAATAAATTCAACTGATCAATTCTAAATAAGATAAAATGCTCACCTTATATTCGATTATTATAACCATAACTCCCATTCAACTAAAATACAAGCTTTACATTAATATACATTATCTTGGAAACCATAAATCAACAATATACACAAGTATTGAACAAACATACTGATGGGGGTGGGTGGGGGGTAATATAAACAATTGAATAAAACAAAAGAAATACAATGGGAATGTACACTTTTGTTTCTCTTTTTTTTGTTTTTTTTTGAAAAAAAAAAGATTATTTTTTTATTTTTCATAAAAATTTTCCGCCCATTTTACATAAGGCATAGCAAATTGAAAATGTAATTGTTGACGTGATTTACGTAATATTGAATCCTTGTAATAAAATCTATTTGCATATTGAATGATTGATAAGAGAAAAAAAACACAGAAAAAAACCCAAATTAGAATCAAAGTTATGAAGAGTAGAAAATGGATTCACAAGTACAATTTAATGATTAAAGTTTATTATCAGAATGGGGGGGTTGTGGAGATTTTAGTAATTTTGTATAGTTGAGATCATGAGTCAATTGAAGCTAGACAACCATGGAAAACCTTTAAGCACTGGACAACCGTTTCGTTCTATTATGGGATTCCTCAGTGGCAGTGTGCATCCATGATCCCGCCTCGAGAGATTAAGTAATGACTCTTCGAATCCCATGAATATATTAGTTATCTGGACATTACAGATATACTAATGAGCGTCAATCATTCCGAATTCCAAGGTTAAGGTGCCTTGTCGACTATCTACAACTATCTAACGTCGAAACAAACAGTATATGATCTTGATTCATTTAAACTGCTGGTCGTATTACAATATGAACTCATTAGAATCCGTTTAGAATATGGGACTAAACAACCGTAACATTAATTATTATTATTTGATGATAAATCATTGTAAAGGAAATCAATTTGCCAATTTCCTTTGATTGAACTTTGACCACATAAACGATGAGAAAAGTGTAATTCGGTTGAATCTCATTATATAAACAGAGTGGTCTCTTAGTCTAACTAATTAAACATATTATTACTTGTTTAACTACCTAAAAACATTTTATTCAATACATAATTGTATTAGAAATATCCTCAATTATAGAGTAGTAAAGCCTAAATGAAATAGGTGACTAACATTATTTGATCTTTAATGATTCATCGATTAGTAGTAAGTGTTATATTCTAATGAAGAATAAATAAGTGGTAACTGATAAGGATCTCTTATGGACTATTGGGAAAAGACGTTGGAAGTGGATAGGACATACATTAAGGAAATCACCAATGTGCATTACAAGGCAATCTCTTACTTGGAATCCGAAAGGGTAGCGGAAAAGAGGAAGGCCAAAGAACACATTACACCGAGAAATAGAAGCAGATATGAAAAGGATGAATAACCACTGGAAAGGAAGGCCCAGGACAGAGTTGGATGGAGAATGCTGGTGAGCGGCCTATACTCCTCCACGAGGGATAACAGGAGTTAGTAATATAACTATATATATATATATATATATATATATATATATATTAATTACTGTTATACAATTTAGTATTCTTAATATATTCCCAGTCTATTGGTTACAGTCTCTCACACTTAACTCACGGTCAATTTAGGTTTAGTCTTGTATAATTATTATTTTTCATTTCATGGTGTGATACTGATTGATCTGTTTGTTTATAAACTATGTATGTCGAAAGTACATGATTCATATAGCAGAAACTGATATTGGAGTTTTGGACTAAACCGACTGGATTAGGTGAGAAGAATCAACAAGGACTTAAAGTTGACTCAAGGTTATTCGTACTGGTTAATGCATCATTGATTTGGCACAGTGCCAAGATCATATAAGTCGCTATTCTGATTGGCGATTTAATCACGTGATAAATAACAAGGGATTAGAATACAATCATAAGTTGTATAAATGAGTTTATTATAACCATAAAATGTAATCTTCGAAGTCCCAGAGTGAACATCAACTCTGAGATGCAAGCACATCCAACTGAAGAGCTCCAAATAGGACGAAACGTGCGTCACTATTAGCCACTATTCATTTTTGCTTATAATACTTGTAAATTAAGGCTATAAGAGACTAATCAATTACAATCTTAAACATTAAATGAAAAGATTCAAAACAAATAAATATCAATTCACCTTATAGCTCTAGCCATTTTTTCATAATCCATTAATTTATTATTACGATAATGACCCCATTCTTTTGCAGCTAATTGTGTATTTATAATACGAAATAAACCAGTTGATTTATTAACCCATTGAAATGAACTAGTTTTACTCATTTGTAAACGATATAATATAAATTGCCATAATTCCATTTGTTTATTTTTATATCGATCATGATTATTAGGTAAATGTGAATGTGAATGTGAATGTGAGTGTGATTGTGAATGTGAACATTTGGATTGTTTTTTGGATTTGATTTTAGGAATAGATTTTGGTTTTAATTCATTTAAAGGAGTTGGTTGCTGGGTATTATCATTATTATCATTATCATTATTATTACTACCATTACTATTACTACTACTACTACTATTGTTATTATTATTAATCTTTTTATAATGATCATCTAATGAGTTATTAGATAACCAAGAAGTTGAATAGAAATCTTTATACATACGTTTTGTTAAATGTTTAGGCCACCATGATTCTTGATCATTTATATCTTTAGATGATTCTCTATAATGTTTAGATGAAGTTCTCTTTTGATGATGATTATATAAATTAGATATTGTAGGATATGTAAAGTTTTTTAATCGATTATTCAGTTTCTCATTTTCCTTCTTCTTCTTCTTCTTCTTCTTCTTCTTCTTCTTCTTCTTCTCTTTCGTCTCCTCCTTCTCTTCTTCCTCTTCCTCCTCCTCGTCATCATCATCATCATCATCATTCGAAGAATAAGAAGATGACGAAGACGACGATGATGAATCAGATCCATATTGATTATTTGAAATAGAACTTTTATGTTTAGATTTATGTTTCTTAATTCGATATTTTCTTAAATGTTTTTGACGTATTAAATTATTATAATATTCAGCTTCAGAACATGTTAATGTACTATCTGAATTATATTCATCATTATTATTATGTAATAGGTCATCTTCAAAATGTTCTTTATCCTTATTGTTTGAATCATCATTATGTTTAACTGATGATGAAGATGCTGCTGCTGCTGATGATGATAATGGTGAAGATGAAAAAGAAGATGATGATGTTGATGATGTTGCTGAATAGTCTGAATTATTGATTTCTTCTGATGTAGATTTTAAAGAATTGACTGTTGAAAAAATTTGTGTAACATCATCTGTATGTAAATCTAAGTAAATTATTGATAAAAGAAGAAAAGAAAGATGTTTGGAAACATTACAGATTGAAAGGAATCTTTGGAAAATAGGATATCGGATTAAAAAAGGATTCTATCATGATATTATACCATTTGAAAAGTAGTTTTAAACATAAAATTACGTTAAATAGGGAAGTTATTGAAATCTAGATAATGGACGAAACACGTATCCTTGATTCTACTGCTAGCCACTATCCATCTCTGCTTACCATGCTTGTGAATTTAGGCTATATCGAGACAATACGCACAGTATGCAAATATGCCAATTAGAGACTGACCATTTGCAGTCCTAAAAACATCAATGGGAAGATCCAAACAAACAATACTAAGTAAATTTCACTATCCATCTTTGTTTATAATGCTTGTGAATTAAAGCTATATCGAGAACTGCAATTGATCAGTCTCTTATTGGCATATGTGCATACTGTGAGTATTGCCTCGATATAACCTTAATTCACAAGTATTATAAGCAAGGATGTACAGCGGCTGGCAGTGGAATCCAGTTTGACGCGCATTTCGTCCTATTTGTGACTCGCCAGCTGGATGTACTTGAAACTCAGAGTTGTTGTTCACTCTGGGACTCAAACCCAGTTCCTTTTGATTGTAAATTAAGACTACATCGAGGCAATGCGCACAGTGTGCATATATATGTCAATAATAGACTGATGAATTTTCCATTCTATACAACAATGGGAAGATTCAAACAAACAATACCAAATGAATTTAACGAAATACATGATTCAGTCTAACCTAGATCACTATTGAAAGTGTAGATGAACTGGTTGCTCATTTCCTCTTTGTGTGCAGCTCCTCGGCAGTGCTCATTTTCGATTCCGCAACAGAGGGATTCACATACAATATTTCCGGTCTTACGCGTGAATGCTTAACCTCTAGACCACTGAACCAGAATCCAACAGTGTTAATGTCTAACTTCAATCGATCTTTTATATCATTTATGTATCTGAAATCTTTTTTATCCATCCGAAATGATCTATTCGATGAAGTTGGTGTAAAATACTCAATCAAATTCATAATCATACAGTCAGTTACGTTTTAAATCTCATTTAGACATCGTATTTCAGAAATTTGATGAGAATGTTTCATACTATTTAATATTTTTATAAGTAACTAAAATGTTTTCTATGAATTTCATGGAACTCCCACACGATCTTTGGCATTAGAGATTGTGTTCTCATATTGAATTTACGAATGTATCTAATCATTGACATTGTCACTTTTTTTGGTGATGTCATCAAACAAAAGTGAAACTGAAATTGGCTAACGTATAACAATCAATTGGAAATATTTCTTTTATTACTTACTTTACTTACGCCTGTCACTCCCAATGGAGCATAGGCCACCGACCAGCGTTCTCCAATCCACTCTGTCCTGGGTCTTCCTTTCTAGTTCTATCCAATTTTTGTTCATTCTTCTCATGTCTGTTTCCATTCCTCGATGTAATGTGTTCTTTGGTCTTCCTCTCTTTCTTTCACCCTCAGGATTCCATGTGACTGCTTGTCTTGTGACGCAGTTTGGTGCTTTCCTCAATGTGTTTGCTATGCACTTCCGGCGCTTCTTCCTGATTTCTTCCTCCGCTAATCTGGTTTGTTCTTTCCCACAGTGAGTTGTTGCTGATAGTGTCTGGCCATTGGATCCAAAGTATTTTGCGTAGACAACTGTTCATAAACACCTGTATCTTCTAGATGATGGTTTTCGTAGTTCTACAAGTTTCCGCCACATACAGTAGAACTGTCTTGACATTGGTATTGAAAATTCTGATCTTGATGTTGGTTGACAATTGTTTTGAGTTCCAGATGTTCTTCAATTGCTTTGATGATCCAAGCCTTCACATTTGCATCAGATCCACCTCGTTCAGCAACGATGTTCCCCATATATGTAAAGGTTTTTACATCCTCCAAAGCTTCTCCGTCAAGTGTAATTCGATTGGTGCATGTTGTATTGTATCAGAGAATCTTTCTTTTCCCTTTGCGTATATTGAGACCTACTGCTTCTGAGGCTGCTGCTATACTGGTCGTCTTCTGCTGCATTTGTTGTTGCATGTGTGATAGAAGAGCTAGATCATGTGCGAAGTCTAAATCGTCCAGTTGCATCCTAGCAGTCCACTGTATCCCGCCCTTCTTTCCAGATATTGACGTCTTCATAATCCATTCGATTACCAGGAGAAACAGAAAAGGTGAGAGTAAGCAACTTTGCCTAACACCGTTATCTACCTCGAATGATTCGGTGAGTTGTCCTCCATTACATTATATAATGCGTAACAAATTTTAAAAAAAACAACATAAATCTGTACAATATTAACTGTAATAATAATAATAATAATAATAATAATAATAATAATAATAATAATAATCACTTACTAGTAATGTCTAATGTATCCATCCAATCTATATCTGTACTTTCTATTTGTTTTTCTAAATCAATTAATGAATATTGATCATTGATTATTGATAATTGATTCATTTGATTATTATCTTTACATGGTAACAATTTCATTTGAGATGATAGATCATATTCATTTAAATAATTTGTAGTGAATTTTTCTAATGTATTATAGTTACCATGGTGATTATTATTATTATATTCATTTATATTATCATTATGTTTCATTATATAATTCATATAGAATAATGATGGATCTAAGATATTATCAAAATGATTAGATATATTTAATATATTCATATATTCTGGTGTAATATTGGAAGGTAGTAACCTCTGATCTGTACATTTCGAATGAGTTGTTAAATCTGATGCTCCTGGTGCTGCTGCTGATATTGAAGATGAAGATGAGGACGATGGTGAAAATGAAGACGAGGATGATGATGATGATGATGATGCCGATGATGAACATGATGATGATGGTGAAGACGATGAAGATGATGAAGAATTGTCTAAATAACTTTTTAAATCATTTCTATTACATGTAAATGAATCTATAGATTCTGATGAACATGGTGATGTTGATTGCCATATTAATTCATCTGATATATCTGTATAAATTTCATTCATAAAATCATTTGTTTTATTATGATTATCATTATTATTATTAAATGTTATCTCTTCATGTTGTAGATTATTTTCAATTTGTAATAGGAAATCTAAAGAAAATATAGTGAGTGAGTAGGTTATTACGTAATCAAAGAGCAGAAGTTCTATATAGGTCTTATTGTTATTATTAGGTACTGAATGCAGATGAGCCAAACAAGTCAATTGATTTGTATGATGGCTGTGATACTGTTTGGGTAACCAGACCAAAGCAGGTGGTTTTCTTAGGGGACCACATCCGGAACCATTGGTGTAAAGGTCTAATCCAAGAGGCAGTGGAACAACGTGAGAAGATACAGTCCCATGGTAGTTGGTGACCATTAATGGTTTCATACGCCATTTATTCCCTCAAAATCCTGGAACCCACGTGCACCATTGGTTTGGAATCAGGGTTTACCAATTCCCCCAGATGGATTCTCTGTATCTATCAACCCGGTTAAAGCACTGGATATTTGCTTTTTCTCTTCTAAATTTCTTAAACAACATCCCGATGCAATAAAGTAGTGAGTAGGACTTCCCTGATGGTGACTGTATATGCATGGCCATGTGAGAGCATTTGAAGAGGGATAGCTAACTCCCCCCACCCTTGGTCGTACCAGGGTATTTAGAGGCAGAAGAAAACATTTAGCTTTATTTCAAGATTTACTATCAATCGACTCGTTATCTCCTTTAATGCCAAAATATAAAGTTTCACAAATTCATATGTTACTGATTACTTCTTGTTTTTTTTATCCATTTTAACCAATAATGAAATAAATTGAATTCGTTTATTCTTTAGATTCCTAATGTGAACCGCAAAACAAGAAGCCTTAACAAATTACGGAAGCAATTTTTGGGTGCACACCCATCCGACCAACAAAACATGTTGCTCGAAATGCCTCAGGCGACATAGTGAAGTTAACAGGAGAAGTCACCTGTAACGTGCAATTCAAGGAACATAAATTCACTGATGTTTGTTATCTAACAAATCGGCATGATTTAGATCTATTGGGATTGGACTGGGTTGAGAAGATTGATGTCTTAAATAGTTTATTAAATGAAGTATGTTCTCATAATTCTTGCTCTGAATCTATCCAAAATTCTCATGATATTTCTGAATCAAATGCCTCACTTGTGTTATGTTCCCCCGATGTTTATGAACTAAATGCTTCCGATGTAACATGTTCTCGTAATATTTCTGAATCAAATTCCTCCGATTTAATGTGTTCTCATCATGATGTCAAATCAAATACCTCCGATTTAATGTGTTCTCATAATGATACTAATTCGAATAACTCCGATTTAATGTGTTCTCACAATTATGTTAAACCAAATGACTCCGATGGAACGTGTTCACAAAATGATTCCCCATCAAATTCGTCAAACAAAGTCTGCTGTCGTGAGGTCTCAAAATCTCATGCATTTGATTCCTCTATAGTGCCGACCGCATCTCACGCAAATAATCTTCGAAAACAAATGCAAAGCCCATTTTCAGACCAAAAAGACCAGTACATTATGCTGCTCTGTCAGCCGTTGATCAAGAACTCGACAGTTTTGAAGCACTAGGTGTCATTCAGCCAGTAAATCACTTAAACTGGGCTGCCCCCATGATAGTTGTGAGAAAGATCAGGACTCAATGTAATCGCCATCATGGGGCAAAGCGGAGAATCTATTGTCGTTCCCGATTCTCACCTTCACAGAAAGCCGAGAAACCGTGCTCAATGGGGGAAATATTCTTGGACAGTTTCGTCATAGGAAATTCAGCAACTAAGAAGACTGTGAAACTTCAGCAACATCCTAATAGGAGATCACGACGGAAACGCAAAGAATCTGATGCCATGCAGGTGGATCCCAAGAAAGGAGCATATTTTTCTGGGGGGAGATATCGATGAAGATATCTTAGCTACTGTTTGTAACTAGTGATTAACCGCTTTTCTTTTTTTTCATTCCAGTTAACCAAATTGGTCCTTTCTTTTACAATGACCACAACGCCGTTCAGTTTCCCTTATGCACTCAGTCAATGGCAGTGACAACATAACTTTTTTTTCGTCAAGGGGGAAGATGATGTGAACCGCAAAACAAGAAGCCTCAACAAATTACGGAAGCTATTTTTGGGGACGTTTATTCATTTAATTCAAAGCTTGTAAAACTGTAACATTTATTTTTGTCCCTAGTCTATTCTACAGATTATATGCTTTTGTTTGATGTATGATTCATTGCCATAGCATTTTCTGTTGGTTCCAAAGCTATTGTCATTTAGACGTAACCTTTTGTACCCTATTCCCCCAGTTTTGGACATAATTGTATTTTTCTAATTTCAAAGTTGAAATCATGAGTCAATTGAAGCTAGACCACCATCGAAAACCTGGAAGCACTGGACGGCCTTTTCGTTCTACTATGGGACTCCTCAGCAGTGCGCATCCACGAACCCGCTTTCGCGAGCGAGATTCGAACCCAGGACCTACCAGTTACGAGCCAGAGCCCTTAAACGATAGACCACTGAGCTGGCATCCAACGGTGTTAATGTCTAACTTCAACTGATCCACGAATTATGAGCGACACTTCACCATTTGCCTTCAGTGAGTTGTTATCTCACAACAGACGTGGTTGAACTCCACTGGTCACTGCTTCCCATTAGAACTCCAGGACATGTATCTTGAAGTCAGTCACTAGTGAGCACATGATTATTATCAGAAGGAGCTTTTATAGAGATTTCAGGAATTTTATAGTTCAAATCATGAAACAATTGAAGCTAGACCACCATGAAAAACCTGGAGGCACTGGACGGCTATTTCGTCCTATTGTAGGACTCCTCTTTACTATCACTATTTCTTTCCATAAGTGTACCACTCAAAGTTATATCAGAGAGTACAAATATTAAAAACATTATGTATACCATTTAACTTACCATCATCTATTTCATTTGTTTGATTTGTTTCTGTCTTTTCATCCATTGACCATTGAATATCATCGTATTGTTTAAATAGACTACATTGAAATAATTCAGAAAACAAAAGTATAAATAATTTGTCTTATAATTATCTATATGACTATGAAAAATAGAAGCTATATTTAAATGTTGAAAGAGTGAGTCAATTGATTCTGGACCGCCATGGAAAACTTAGAAGCACTGGATGGCCATTTCGTTCTATTATGGGACTCCTAAGCAGTGCGCATCCACGATCCCGCACTCGCGAGTCCCATCAATAGAACAAAACAGCCGTCTAGTACTTCCAGGTTTCCCATAATGATCTAGCTTCAATTAACTCATGATCTCAGCTATTAAAATTACTATAATATCCACAAAATCCCTCCATCCTTTCTGATATTATTCAATATTCAATTAAAAAAAAGATTCTGTTTCACCTTTAAACATTTATTTATTAAGTTGGATATATATATATATATATATATATATATGTATATTTTATAAGGTATGAATACAATGTCTAGACCACCCATTGAAAAGAACTGTAATAATGAACTTTGATAATTCACTATACAAAAATAGTAACTAAGTAATCAATGAACATTATCAAAGTTTTTCATTTTCAATGTTATGAATCCAAATCTGAAGATTGTACTGGTTACTAGGGTATTTATGTTGTCTCCGTTTTGAATTGTAAAAAAGAGGATCTTATTTGGAACTTAATAAGGGATTTAATGTATAATATCTAACTTGTAGAATGAATTGTTTTTAATGTGATTTTGATACCCTAGCAACAATAAATGAGGATTTGGAATTATGAGTCGACGGTATTCTATTTCAGTTTTTTTTTAAAGTATCACTCTTTCCATAAGAATTAAAGGTATTGAGATCAGCTTTGTATCAGGTCATAGTTGTACATCATCATGTGGTCTTATTTTGAGACAGGATGGCAGGAAAGATAGATATTTTTATTTATTCAACCAATAGCTAGAGTTAATCTATAAGAAAGCTATCATCATCACTTAAACAGAAAAGATCATGAGTCGATTGAAGCTAAACCACCATAAAAAAAGACATAGAAACACTAAACGATCGTTTCCTCCTATTGTGGGACTCCTCAGTGTCAGTACACATCCACGATCGTGCCTCATGAGATTCGAACCCAGGACCTACCAGTCTCACGCCAGAGCAAAGTACGAAATCATTTTCATATTGAACGTATTGATGGAATGAAATTCATGTCGATAAAGCAGAATAGTTAAAAAAGTATTTTATCTCTCTACATAAATTGTGATGTAATCAACCTATATGTAATTCCTAACCTGAATTATGTAATTAATGTTAAGAAATTATTGAAGGTTATTGTAATTCATCTTTGAATTCATTACTATTCTCTTGGTACCATATAACTTACAATTTGATAAGTAGAGGTTTGAATACTGATTGTTCACTGAAGATGAGAAAAAGTGACTGAGAGAAGAAAACTTACTTTTCAACGACATTATTTACTTAAAGGTTTATTTTCATCTTTATATTCTTCATCTGTATTGTTTGTTTGTATCTTCCCATTGATGTTTTGGACTACAATTGATTAGTTTCTTATTGGCATATGAGCATCCTGTACAGATCGCCTTAGGTCACAAGTAATATAAGTAATGATGGATGGTGGCTAGCAGTGTAATCCAGAACGTGGGTTTCGTCCTATTTGGGACTCGTCAGTTTGATGTACCTGCATTCCACGACTCAGAACTCAGTAGCTCAGTGGGTAATGTGATGGGATTTGAAGCGGACGGTAGCGGGTTTTAATCCGGAAGTGAACATCAACTCTGAGATGCGGATAAATCCATCTGATGAGTCCCAATTAGGACGAAACGCGCTTTCTGGATTCTACTGCTAACTATTACCTATCTTTTTTTTCATTCTTCGTTCATTGTTAGACCGATATATTTACTTGTATTCTATTGATTAATCGATGAAATAATGTTGTTTTAAAACTAACCGATATGAATTTTAACATGTGGTTATGGTGATAAATAATCGCTAGTTTCAAGGATTTAACACTTGACGACTATTTGTTTAGTGGAATGATTTATGCATAATGAGTACAGTTTTTCTTATTATTTCAAATTGTTCAGTCCAATTTTAATTTATATTTAAATTGATTCATTAGTATTACGACCTTCAACTCACATTTAAACAAATATTTATTTTGATTATTGAATTCATGAATTGATCAATGTTAGACCACAATTGAAAACCTCTAATCATGAGACGGCTAGTTCTTCTTAGTATAGGACTACTCAGTAGTGTACATCCTTGATCCTGGAATGAGGATTCGAACAGAGGACCTTCTGTCTCACGAGAACTTTTCTCATCTAGACCACTGATTCGACATCCAACAATGTTATTGTCTAACTTTAATCGATGTATGAGCTTGCGCAACCATTCATCGGTTGTCTGAGGTGGATAACTGTCTCATACCTGACATGGAGTAAACTCCAATGATCACGGCCGTCAAGTGCTTTCAGGTTTTCAATGGTAGTCTAGCTGAGAACAACCCATGAATTCAACGATTAAAATTACTACAATCCCCAAAAAACTACATTCAGATATTTATATATTTATCTTTTAGTCTATCTCAGAATTCAAGTTTCAGATCATTGTGAATTAATCGATTATATTCATTTTTATAGAAACTAAGAATTTCTTGGCTGTAGACATCATTCCAATCTGTAGGTGGTATCTATCACGGGTTGGTTTCATTCATGTTAAAAATATTTGCCAGTGTGCAGTATCCTGACGATTCTGATAAATAGGCATTATCTGTTAAACATACAGATTCTGTTTTTAGTCTCTTGAAGGTCATGAGTAGGAACTACTGTGAAGTCTTACAATGAAAAAAACGTCTCATCAATGATCTCTGATTATCTATGATATCTGGAAGCTACGAAGAATATTGACTGTATACTTTGCTAATTGATGCTACTTTTTTCACCTGAATATTAAAATATCTATCTAGAGTTCCAGAAATGTAGGAATTAATGACAATATTGGTAAATTACTGTTCATTTAACAATAAAACTAATATCAGAAGGGGTTTATTGTGGAGATTTTAGTAGTTTTATAGTTGAAATCATGAGTCAGTTGAAGCTAGATCATCATGAAAAACCTGAAAGCACTGGACGGCCGTTAAGTTCTAATATGGGACTCCTCAGTGGCAATGTGCATCCACGATCCCACCTCGCGAGATTCGAACTCAGGACCCATCAGTGTCGCGCGTGAGCGCTTAACCTCTAGAACCACTTAGCCGGCATCCATGGTTTTCTAGCTTCAACTGACTTATGATTTCAAACATAAAATAAAACTAATGTGATTGTAAATATTTCCTCTAATAAATAAAATATTTCAATAAAATATTGTCCACCTGAAATCATTTTGCTTATTCCTTAGTGATGATTGAACTGTAGCAGACCAAGTTGCCGTATGATTACTAGTTCAAGTGACCAGTCATAGCCTACGATATGTTTTGGTGTTAAGAGGTTGAAGCTAATCGGTTATAAGTGCTGATTAACATAAGTTTTCATTCTAATTATCATCCGTCAGTAACGTATATGTACAATCTAGATAAAGGTTATAATCTCTGTATAATTTAGCATTACAGTTTGAGTAGTTATCACTAAGATATTTGTGTTACGAATAGCGCCCTATATGATTGAAATATTTACATTAAATGAGCATCGAATAGCGGTCAATTTCGTGTTTCTCTATTATATTAACCCGATTGAATTATATATCTATTTTATTGAGGTCATAATCCCATCAACGTTAGACCACCGTTGAAAACCTCGAAGCATAAGACGGTTTTTTCATCTTAGTACGAGACCCCTCAGCAGCGTGCATACACAGTCTCACACGCGAGATTCGAACCGAAGACCTTCTGTCTCACGTGGACGCTTCTCCTCTTAACCACTGATTCGACATCCAATGGTGTTAATGTTTAACTTCACCCAATCTATAAAATTGCGCTACCATCATCCGTTGTCTCAGGTAGATGCTTGTTTCTATCCAACACAGATTGAACTCCATTGATCACGTCTTCTCACTAGAACTCTGAGAATTATCTTTCCAAAACCCCATACTGATATTTATTTTCCAATTTGTAATAATCCATTCATTTAACCATTAAAATTAAGATAAAATTCATTTATTGTACTCTAATGACTATTTGAAACCAAAAATGCCTAACGATTCCTGTTTTGTAGAGTACTAATAAAGGTATTCTGATTGTAAGTTTAATACATTATGGTCTATGCTACTGATGTCAACAGATATAAGTAGCATGTATCATCAATCGAAAGTAAAATGTCTTGAGCTAGAAGGTTAAGAAGAGTGATGAAAATAGAATGAGAACAGAGAATTCACTTAGTTTTGTTTGTTTGTATCTTCCCATTGAAGTTTAGGACTGCAACTGGTCAGTTTCTTATTGGCATATGTGCATACTGTGCGTATTGCCCCAATATAGCTTTAGCTCACAAGCATTTTTAAGTAAAGATAGATAGTACTAAATGAATTTAAACTTCACCCCATTGCACAAGCAAGTGGCTATAAGGATTCAGTGGCCGAGTGGATAACGCGATGACGTTTGAGGCGAACTGTACTTGGTTCGAGTCCCAGAGTGAACATCAACTTTAAGATGCAGGCACATCCAGCTGACGAGTCCCAAATAGGACTAATGGCGCGTCAAACTGGATTACATTGCTAGCCACTACCCATCTCTTAGATCAGATAATGATTGCTGTGGAAACAAAAGAACAATGAAGTGAGAGATGATTGATTGACATTTTGTGAATGAGTTATTTACTGTATGATTATCAGATTTGACTAAGACTTTCTGTAATTTTGCTTTTAGATACATTCGATTGACCCCACCTTTCTTCTCCTTCAATACAGCATTCCATGCCATGATGTAAAATGTTGACAAGAAGTAAACAAAACATCTTTGTATCTATGTCAACATGTTTCTTTTAAAGTCAACTTCAATAGAATTCAATATTTTGGC